CAGCAATCTACTTAAATTGCAAACATTAAGGCCAAACACATTATATTTTAAAATGCTGTGAGGTCTGTTTTGACTCAAAGCAGTCAGCTAAGATGAGGAACATACCATTCTGCCCTATCAAATGAAGGAAAAAGCTCCGATTCATATATAGAGTAGATTTGGGAGCAAAACCATTGATCTTAATTTTTAACTAGTTATTACTATAGAGTTACTGTGCATTTTTCTTCCCTCCCAGACAAGATAAATTTCCAAACAGACAGAGAAATTAGTTTCGTTGAACACAAAGAATCTATTTAATATACAGTGAGGAAGTAATCTTCCATAGAAAGAATTTGCATGGCATAATAAAGCACACATCTCCATGTGAATGCTTAAGAGCAAAGCCAAGACCCCTTGAAAATGACATACAGTACTGTTCATTTAATAAGAGAAAGAGCCACTGTTGAGGTGGAGGTATATAGGGAACAAGATAAGGATAACCACAGCGTAAGAATGAAATGTTACACATTTACACAGACATGTTATTGTTCCAATACCTATGTCTTCAACAATCTTCCATTAGACACAACAGGCCAATATCCTCAAATGAATATGAGAAAGTTTGTCTATAAAGTCATCAATGAGGTATGACATATAAACAGAGAGGAAAATCTCTGGGTAATAATGTGGATTTGACAAGTCTTATAGGGGCAATTATATAGCATTAACACAGAAGTATTCAATCCACCTTACCTTCTGCATATTTGGTTTTCTTCACACAAAGCAAGTATCAAGTGCTACATATTAGTCTACTTCTATGCATTAGTTTGAAACAGTATCTGCTTTTAAGATTGCAATGACTACATTTTAACACTTATGAGTTATTGTAAGGTGAGACAAAAAGGTTCACATGCATTCCATCCACATAATTAGAGAATATCTTGCAGGGGGGAAAAAAAAAGAAAAAATGATAAAAAGAAAAGCTGTGAGCTTGGGCAGGATTATATCAACTGCTAAATTACATATAGTCACCCAGACAGTATAATAATTCTAAGCAAACTTTTCCATGGATTTTTAGTGCAACTATTACAAGAACATGAAAAAGAACAATATAGCTGAAACCATGTCAGCAGTTGGGAGTGCTCAGTGACAGAGCACATGTGAATTTCATGCAGAAGGTACCGGGTTCAATCATCAGCATTTAGTTAAAAGAAGCAAGTAAAAGACGGGAAAGAATGAGAAAGAACTTAAAGAGCTGCAATCTGATGGCCAAAACAGGAACAAACTTTGTCATAAAACTAAACGAAGGAAGTACAGCAGACCTTATTCTCATATCATGCTGCTGTACAAGATTAAGGAAAGTGTGTGCCAACAAAAAGATACTACAAAGCTACTTTTCTCAATGGTCTTGTAAACAGCAAATTATGTTTGGCATTAAGAATGGGCAGATTGTTACTAACCGATTGTTACAATTGCTGGTATTTGAGAATGTTGCAAAAACATAGGTTGAATTCAGTTATTAGAATTGAGAATGTTGCAAAAACATAGGTTGAATGCAGTTATTAAAATACAGTATATCCACTGAATGAATGCAACTTGTTGATTCAGGGGATCTGTTTTAGTTGGAACTAACAACTAGATTTAGCCCAATATATGTATGTCACCATCTATTTATCTAGCTATATTCTACCTTCTGTCTCTTTAGTCCACCAATTACTAGTCGTAGAACTTCAGAGTTTTAAGAGACCCTAGTGAGCATCAAGTCCAGTCTCTGTCAAGGAGGCACAGTTGGGAATCAAACTCCTAACCTCTGGATCTTCATCCAGATGCCCAAACCACTGAGCTATCCAGTTATAATTCTTTGACTCTGTCTCTGGAAACAAAAGGATGTACAGAACTACTACCAGTGGCACACAAAGCTCTTGCTCCTTGCATTTCTTACGAAGTAGATTACCACTGAGCTATCCAGTTATAATTCTTTGTCTCTGGAAACAAAAAGGATGTACTGAACTACTACCAGTGACACACAAAGCTCTTGCTCATTGCATTTCTTACGATTAGATTTACAGTGGTGCCTCGCAAGACGGGCGCTCTGTTTAACGATGAATCCATATTACCACGAGGTTTTTGCGATCACAAAAGCAATTGCAAAACGATGTTTTGAATGGGGGAATTTCGCTGTGCGACGTTCGGTTCCCTGTTTCGGGAACTGATTTTCGCTTCCCAATGATCAAAATGGCTGATTGTCTGGGTTTCAAAATGGGCGCTGGGTGCTCAAAATGGCTCCCCGCCATTTTTCGCTGCACAGGCACCCAAAAATGGCCACCCCTATGGAGGATCTTTGCTGGACGGTGAATTCTTAGCCGATTGGAACGCATTAACCAGGTTTTAATGTGTTTCAATGGCTTTTTTATTTTCGCTTTACGATGTTTTTGTTCTACAGCGATTTCGCTGGAATGAATTAACGTTGTAATGCGAGGCACCACTGTATTCCTTTTCGTATGTTGTCAAAGCTATCTCAAATTATTTGCTTCCTTAAGTTCTATGTGATCATTTTATGAAATCTATCCCACAATTGGGAGTTTACTGTAAATCCCTCCTATGAAATCTCAAGGTTGCAGCACTTCACAGGTAAGTGTGAGATGTCTCCAAAGTTCTCTCCACTAAAATATAAATTAGTAATATGTAATATGTTTTTGAATGAAATTTATCAGAATCATGATGTGTACCATCAATAAGACAGTGCCTTTGATTCCAAGAAGATTTCCCCAGGTGCTAGAAACTAACAGTGTGTTGTCTCCCTTGTCTCTTTCACATGTATCCACTTCATGGAGGCAATTAAAGTGTTCAAAGCCAAGCCAAGGATAGCTGCTCAGCCTACAGATATGACTGCACTGAGTAAACATGAATGTCAGGAAATGACTAAGAGGACACTATACAGTCTTTAATCTTTGCATCCTCTTGTGAAGAACTTTTAGCCATTTTCAATGGGCACTGTATGGCCCCCTGGGGGATCCTGACACACTTGAAGGGAGTCACAGACTGGAAACAGTTCTTCACACACCACCTTATAAGGTTTGTTATGGGACTTATGCAATCCTGATGCAGCCTGTATTTCTTTCATATTATGTTTGTGGCCTGGACCAAAAAAATAAAAATAAAAAAAGGTTGAGAATGGCCGGATTAATGCAGCAAGAGCAAATTCTAATCATGCTCACTCAATCCCCAGAGAAGATGCTTTTAGCTGGGTTGAAATTGAGGTCATCTGAAAGTAGGCATAAGATGCCAATGCAGTTGCTTCTGCTTTGCAAGACAGTCTTCCCATGGAGATTACTGAGAGATGCTTATTGTGTATCAATAATTCAGACCTTTTGAGCATGCCTTTTGGGTTAACTGCAGATTCAACACACACTGCTGGCTACTCATGTTCTTGAGGACATTTTTGCATCTCACTTCATATGACATACAAGAATCTAAATAATTTAGACACTGTTTTAATTAGAAAGAAGCATGCACTCAAATACACCGCAATACTTAGGCAAGTACTGTAGTTAAGTAGGATGAATAAAAATGGGAGAACAGGAACCCCTCAATTCTTCATATTTTTAATGTGAGGGAACCAGCACCTGTTTTTGACCTCCTTACCCTAAGGCAGGTAAAGAACACCTAAGATGCTCTAGATGTTTACGACTACTGTTCCTACAATATCAAGCCCTCATGCTGGTGGATAGGAATTATGGAACTGTAGCCAAAAGTATCTGAAAGCCCACAGATTGCTTCCTTTGTGCAAAGGCAGTGGTCCCTCAAGTAATATAATGAATAGACAGTGAACAGAGAGGCTGCTTCTCACTTGCACAGGAGCAAGTAGAACCTGTAGATTGTAACCATTAACCCCCACCACCCCGCCTCTGCCAACAACCCACACAGAACAAGCTCATGGTGATGTTTGCAAGCATGCTCAATGTCATCACAGAAAGATCAGAAATTTTAGAAAAAATTTTCTGGCCGTCAGAAAATGTGATTGAAGAAATTACCACAGGCCAGGTTAAACATATGAGTTTGCACCAACACATTCCCTTTTTATAGACTGTACAAGTGCAGATGGACAGATAACACACAGGCAACAAAGTTCTACGAAACAAATTAAAAATTTGATCAAATCCAACAAATCGTGAGAGTAGGTAAATGTAAAGGTTCCCCTTGACATTTAGTCCAGTTGTGTCCGACTCTAGGGCACGGTGCTCATCCCTGTCTCCAAGACGTAGAGCCAGTGTTTGTCCGTAGGCAGTTTCTGTGGTCACGTGGCTATCACAACTAGACACGGAATGGCATTACCTTCCCATCATAGTGGTACCTATTTATCTACTTGCATTTTTACATGCTTTTGAACTGCTAGGTTGGCAGGAGCTGGGACAAGCGACAGAAGCTCACTCTGTTGAGTGGATTCGATCTTACGACTGCTGGTCTTCTGTCCTTACAGTACAGCAGCTTCTGTGGTTTAACCCGCAGCACCACCATGTCCCTGACTAATCAAGAGAGTACCAATACATTTATTTTATTAATATCTGGAACTTATCTCTGCCTCTTTTATCACAGACTTAGGCTCCTGATCCCTTTTAAATAATTGCAGACTGTAGAAACAATAGCTTATCACTCTCTTTAAAAAATGGAAAATAAAGGCCAACATGGACATCTACTAAGAAAAATGATGTTTAGATTTATTATCTTGATACTGATATCTCACACATTTTCTTTACTGATAGTGACAGAAAGTATCTATTCAACCAGTAGAGCTATCATTAAAATGCATTTTGATCACTTCCATCCTTTATCTATGCATGTTACCTTATTCTCCTTGAAGACAGGGCATGAAACCAATATGAGAATATCTTTCCACTCTTTTTCAAACATGTAAAATGTAACAGGAAGAATAACAACAGCAACAATATTGACAGCTTTACGAAAACAATGAATACAACAGACATGTTATTCTAGCCAACCTGATCATAATAAATACTTACTGGTCAAGACCTTGAGGGTGTAAGGATTTTTCTGCTGTATAGTGTGGGTGAATGCAAAGCGAGCATTGCAGCTGTAGTCAGTCTGGGCATCTTCCCGCACAACGTTGGAGAAATACAAGTCACCATTATGTCCTTGGGAGACACGCTTGTCTTGATGGATTGGCTCCATGGCTGTCAAAAAGAACAACAATGGGCCATGCATCTCTGTACTGGGATTAAGATCACTTGTCTACTAGTCCTAATGATATGAAAGAGGCATGCATTCATTTAAACCAGCTAGCACTGGGATGTATCAATCAATTCAAGACATGCTTAAAAAAAAACAAAGATTCTGCTACGAAGAAAAAACAGAAAGAACAAATTTTATTGAGTTTGTTGCTTAACAGTATGATGTGCAGTTCTTCTATGTGTTCATATCAGTTTATTCCATACACATCCAGCCTATATTAAAAATGTAATATTTATTTGAGAAAGCAGCTCCAAAGGTATGTGAATTGGATAACCATAACCAACCCAGATACACAATAATCCAAATAACTATTTGCCACAGCACTGTAAGGTGCAAGAAAGAAGTAGCAGCAAGATGTATCTCAGAGCACTCTTTAACACATGATCTGAAGGAGCCTAGTGCAGCTGCTTGGGATGAGGGGAAAAAACTCTGGCCTACCATTGGCAGTACCTCCATCATCTTCTTCTTTTATAGCACATAGGAATTGCTTACTGTAGTACAGGATAAGACTCTATTTTAGTATAGTGGTGCCTTGATTTACGATCATTTCGAGTTACGACCAGCTCTGGCCGCAAAATTTTGCTTCGACTTGGGGCCGGAGCTTCCAGTTATGAACACAAAAAGGCAGGGGGGGAAAGGCGGGAAATTCAAATTGCTAACTGTTGGTGGCAAAGAGGCCGCTTCTCTGTGGCTCTTTCACCCCAGTAGTTAGAGAGTGTGCGATTGGAGGAGGCTTGGGACTGCCTGGCTTCTGCTTCTGTGTTTGTTTGCAGGGAGGCTTGGGACTGCCTGGTAAGATAAGGTGCTGCTTTCTGCTTTTACAAACTGCCTCTTCTGTGTGAGTTTTGCAGGGTGGGTTTGGGCTGGGGGGTTGTTATGTTTCTGTGCTGTGTTGTTTTGTTTCTTGGTGATATTTTTTTGCAGCCCCGGCACCTTCCGATGGGGCTTGCTCTGTTGTTTTGTTTTTAAGCCTCAGAGCCTTTGGGGCTTGATCCATTGTTTATTTTTGGTTTTGTTTGTTTGTTTGTAGCCCCAGCACATTCCTATGGGGCTTGCAGTGTTTTATTTTTATTTTTTTGGGGGGGGTATTCTTTTTCTTCTGGAACAGATTAATTGCGTTCCAATGCATTTCAATGGAAAATGGTGCTTCGACTTACTACCATTTCGAGTTACGTCCATCTTCTGGAACTGATCATGGTCGTAAGTCGAGGCACCACTGTATTAGAAACATGGAACGTGAACAGTAAGTAGTGTCACTCTTCTGCAGTAATAGAACAGGTTATGCTACAAACTACATGCTTGTTGAATGACCTATGTAGACCATAGAATTTATGAGATTAATCTAAATAATCAATTAATCATTTTTCAAGTGCAGTGATAGCCATTTCACCAGTGTGCCAACTCCCAGCTAAACTTGTGAAATAATTTTGCTTTATCAAGTTTTTCTCTAATGGATTTATCACCTCCCAGGCTGAAAAACAGAAACACTATCTGCTGTGAAAAACATGGTTATTTGTGGCTTTTGTTCTTTGAAAAAAAGAGAAGTGTTTGAAATTAAGCTAAAATTTGAAAAATACTGACATCCCTCCCATTCATTTCTAAAATGCTGCAAACATGCATTAGCCAATGGGAGCTTGCATCCATTACAACACCCATTTGTATGTCTTTTTGAACAACACCCATAAAAACAAATATAGTTTTTTTCTGTTAAAAAGAATACTTATGGAACCCAGCATGTAACAGATTGGGAGTGGTGGAAACTTGGCAGGTTTGCCTTCATCCCTACTTACAGCTACTCATCCAGAAGATAGCAGGTGGTGGGAGTCCAGGGGGAGGATTGCATGCCAGGATAAGCTGAGCACCTTCATGAACCTCTTGAATGTCCAAGTTTTCTTTTGGCCACAAAGGAGACTCTGAAATTTAAAATGTTGGAGGAGACACTAAATCTATACATATAGATTCAGGATTATAATTTTCCAACTTCCTTCTGGCAAAGGTGTATCCATATAGTTATGCCTACTACTAATGTACTTCCTGTCTTTATGCTTTCTCAGGACCCATCACAGCAGGGAAATGTTGTTCTGTTCCATATTTTTGCTATACTGAACTGTGGTCACATGGAATATATACCTGAACAAATGTCCCAATGTGTTTTAATGTTACCCATTAATTTTCTCCTACACCATGGTATCAATTTATTTTCTCTCTTGTTTTCTGGAGCACTGCAACCCCTTACTTTTTTAAAAATTAACAATACATTGGTATGTTGGGCAGGGGTTCCTGTTCGGTAAAATTTCCTCTGTTGCTCCAGGGTCTCTCAAAGAGCTTCATTGCACTCAGTGGACCTGGCACTCCCATCTGGAGCTGTGTTGCTTGCCAGACAGTAGGTGGAGTGATGCAACAAGTACTAATGCCCTGACATACCTGGCCATTGACAAAAGTTTACCTGTGTAGCATCACACCAGCCATGGGGAAAAAATTATAGCAGGGCAGCCATGCATCAGTAATGATGGCCACCTTCCCCTGGTGACTTGGCTTTGGAAAAGAAACAATAGGGTCATACATACACGTTATACCCTTTGGCTTTGGAAAAGAATCAATAGGGTCATTCATACATGTCATACCACTAAATAATATATCAAAATGCTATTGGAACAAAATAATAGAAGCCTCCCAGCGAGGGGGAAATAAACCACAATTACATTGCTGGCCAGGTAAATGATTCAATAGTGGCTGTGTGTCATGTGACTGGAAATTTCTACAATCTAACAAGGGTATAATAACTAGGGAACATTTGCTATCTGTGATCATGCACTCATTTCTGTAACTCCTAACATTTCCCCACCAACCACTACCACGCCTCACTATATTCCTTGCCTCTTGCAGGCATAAGTTAAAACTGTGGCCCACTCAGCTACTCCATCCATAGCAAAAGACCTGGACAGAAAAACAAAACATTTGTTTGCAGTAGCAGCAGAAATGAAATTATTCTGAAGACTGCTGCTCAATGATTCCTGCAGGGCTGGCTTCTCAGTACCGTAACAACTGAAATGAGCAAAACATTGGGGCGGGGGGGAAGGCACACATCAATTGAAATTTGGCCACCAGTTTCCCATTGTCTTATAGATTTTCTAATCAATATACAGGACACACATAACATATAAAGTATTACAAACAGTGAGTTACAAATCTTGTTCTTGTACTCACTTGAAACTTGAAGGTTTATTTTGTTGGAGATGGCTGTTCCAAAATCATTCCGGGCAAAACACTGGTATTCTCCTTCATAATCCTCTGGTCTACCACCACTGCGAAATTCAATAGCCAGTGTACCCGACCAATGTTTCATGTTTACTCTTGGGTCCTTTGCTATATTGAAGAACTTGCCATTCCGTGTCCATGAAAATCTGTAAATACAGTTATACCGCAGAGACAGTGACATTGCATAGGAGGAAACCGTTCAACTATTATTTTGTTTACAGATTGGGATTTATTAATTTGCCTGAATGAGTTGGGTTCTCCATCTTACACACTGGAGGAAAGCATAGTAGGAACATAACAGCACATTTAGGGTTTTATCTGCTGTGAAGTTTGAATTACAATTAAAGTGGAAATAAATTATATGATAGTTTGCTATTTTTTCTGGCATAGCCATCGTATTTAAAATCACACTGAAGGGATTTTTCAAGGGACTCAGCTGAAAAATGGCTATGCAGAACATTTGTGACATAAACTGCCCCCCCACTTGCCCCAGAGGCAATGGCTTTGTTATAAACGGTCTAATACTTTTGATGTAATCAGCCACATCTGAGGAATTTCACAAAAACTCCTGCATGCTTAAGGAATGGTGAGTGCTTTTACATGACAATCAGTATTTGTATTCTACCACACCTTGTTGGACTATTCTTCTCAGTCAGGAATGATGGGATTTATAATCCAACATCACCTGGAATATCTTCTTGATCCCTACTTTATATCAACCATGATGAGACTGCCAGAGTAATCTCTCTGAGGCGAGTGTTACATAGTCAAGTCTGGCCCTGGTTATTAACTTAAAGATATGGTACCAGATCCCTGTTTACAAACCATTCTGGTCACCATAACAAAGGGATGAAACAACAACAAAAAATTACAACTGTACTCACGTAGGCATGGGATTGCCTTTTGCTTCACAATCAATAAATATGTTATCTCTTGGATCAACAATATAATCCTTCACAGACTGTTTTGTAATAGTGGGGGGCTGATGCACTGCAAAACACATACGAGAGAAGACAGAAAAAAATGAATTTAAGGAGGAAATTAATAAATTTACACATAATACTATTTGAAATAGCACACAGTTAAGTGCAAAGTCTTTTTCCGGATAGTGTCTATGTCTCCTGTTGTCTTAGTTGCACAAGATACAAGGCCCATTCTCAAAGGAAGTTTATGAAATCCACTGCCTAAATGTTCTAAAGAAATTCAAGGCTGTTGTTTTGCTTAAAAGAGTCAAATATTATTCAGATTAGTTTTGCTTTCATGCTTGTGAATGGCGAGGAGTACAAGCCAGTGGAAGATTTTACCACAAAAGACCCACTGAAGTGAACATAAGCTGTGCCAGATCACTATCATTTGGCAGATGGAGGTGACCACCTCAAGCAGCAGATGCCTAGGAGCAGCTGTTTCTCATGAACTCTTTCCCCTTGGTTGGAGGGCAGGTGTTGGGCTTGCAAAGTCAGAAGCATCCCATTCCTGGAGCTTCTGGCAAAAGTAGAGACCAACGGTTGCAGAGATTCTTTTGACATGACAGACTTGGGGAGCGCAAGGCTTGTAGGTTGTTGAGGAGGGGAAAACTGATGCTAGGCCAACTGATCATGGAGACAATGGAAATCTGAATAAATGGCCCCTGGTTAAAACTCCAGGCAGCATGGCAACTCACACTGGGAATGGGATGAATGGGGCAAATGCACCAATATCTAGAGCAGCTGCTGCCATTTTGTTAAAGGAATACAATCCCATTCAGCCTCACCTGAAGAAAACATGATATGTGGAGATTTCAGCAGTGTGTCAAGTCTTGAAAACCCAAGATCTGTGTACGCACCCTCCTTAGGACCTAAACTACCCTGTTCCATCACGTACAAGCAGAAGATTCAACAGTCAATCCAGTTAGCTTTATGTCTTTTGCCACAGGCAGCAAAATGCCTTATGCTGCCTTCAGATGAGTGAAGGAGAACATTCAGTGGATTGTGCCCAAAGTCAATTTAAAGTGTAGATAGCCACTATGTGATAACAGGAAGCTTCTTGCTTCAGTTTTTTTCTTCAAATAGTAACTTACCCAATTTGTTGTTGCTGTTTTTACGTGCCGTCAAGTTGGAACTGACTTATAGTGACCCCACCCCACCTTTCCCAAATTTCAAAGTGCTGGGAAAGAAACAATATTAGAAGCATCTCATTTCCGTGACTTTTATGAGGGAGGTTTGGAGGTGGGGAGGGCATCAACTGTATTCACAATATATGCACTTTGTACCTGTATCTTCAGGATTCTTGCAGCATTTAGTCCAACAGTGAAAATGTGTCCATTTCCTTTCTCAATTTAAAATATCTTATATGATCCATACATTGCCATTTGAAGTTCAAGCTGCGAAAGTGCAGGTTTCAATCCCTTACATAATTACCTCAACATTCAGTGGCGTGAAGCATACAAATAATCTAATAGCCCCATTTGTTTGGGGCTTTTTAGGTGTCTAAAATGATGTTTATCTTTTATTGATTTCTTATAATCATGGAGACCTTGGGGGGAAAAAAAAGAAGTTGGGAAGTAAGACTTACATGAGTCTTGAATACTCGCTGTTAGTTCGAAGGTGTAAGCATATTAAAAAAGAGAGAAAGAGAAAGACATGTAGAGTTAATCTAAAACATTTTAGATCTATATTAAATAGATAAAGTGTTACCAAATTCCCATCATTTTTATGGTTATTCTGCTCTGAGCATCTAGGAAGTTAGATAAAATAATACAGTAATAGAAATGGGGATAGGGTTACAAATGAAATCATACTGTCTATATATGCTGTCTCAAGATCAACTACATCACTGAAGACTTCAAAGAGGCATGTTCTTCTTATGCTTGTATATACATAAACACATGAATGTATATCTTCTTATCTTAATATCTACCTGTCTTTCTATTGATCTATCAGTATATAGAAATATAGTTTTTCCCATCTGGTGTCCTAATGTGTTGCTCCACAACTTCTATAATCCTTTATCTAAATAAAACTGCTTTAACAAATAGAGTGAACATTGAAAGAAGATGCTGTTATGTGCTATCAAGTCACCTCTGATTTAGGATGACTTTATGAATCATCTATCTTCAAAATGTTCTGTCCACTATAGTCCTGATCAGGTCTTGCAAACTCAACCCTGTGATTTCCTTTAGGGAGTCAATCCATTTCATTTTGGTCTCCCTCTTTTCCTGCTGCCTCCAACCTTTCCTAGCATTATTGTCTTTTCCAAAGAATCTTGTTTCTCATGATGTGCCCAGAATAGGATAGCCACAGTTTCAATATTTTTGTCTCCAGAGATAGTTCAGGGTTGACAAAGTGCCATATTTAAAATATATGGATGTACCTAAACCTGTGCCCTCAGTAAACAGCCCTATGGTAGCCTGAAATCTACTACCTTTTATGCAACTTATACTACCTATTATGAACTTATACAGATAAGTAGTCCACATTTTTTAGAAAGGTGAACTTGCTTGTGGAATTCCTTAGACTTGCACATGGAAAAAGGCTTGTGGCATATTATTACAGACTGTAGTTTGTCACATTAGTGCTGGGCTCCCAAATAAAGAAGTAAATGAGATCTTCTTGTTAAGAGGTCTTATTAAAGATGCTGCAGAGGCAATAAAAAGTGTGTCGTGATAAAAGTGCAACTGACTTAATTCAACATATCATCAAACTAGGATAAGGGATGTTTTGGCTTACTGTGCAATGGAGAGGGGTAGAATAGTAAGCAGCTGAGGTAAAAAAATTTAGTAGCCAAGCCAGAAAAAATGACTCAACAAAAATGGCCTGTGTGTTTTTATTTGCTGACTGGGTTTTCTGTCCCTAATTTTAGACTATCTATAGGCCTAATCTACAGTACATGTAAAGGAAAATGGTGTCAGCAGCCCAAAGGAAGGGTCCCTTTGTTGCACAAAGGATTTTCATAGCATTTTTATGTTCTTTCTCCTATGTAGTCTTCCCATCCTTTCTTTCAGAATCCACAGTGCACTTTGGAGGGGCATCAACAAAACTAAAATACAACAACAAATCATATACTATAGTTTTACAAGCAATACAAAGCAGATAAAATTTCAAATTGCAGATAAGTGAAAAATTTCTAATTTGAATACTGCAGTGATTGAATCCTCTATTTTCTTATTATATGTATACATATATTACAATAAGCTATTAATTTATGCCTACTTCCTGTTCTTTTGCCCATTATAGCTCTATCTGTTCTCTTATCCTTTGCCTGTCAAATTTTAATACAAGTCCCACATAAAATGTGGTAAGATTTCAATTTGCAGTAAATTCTGGACATCTATCCCACCACTCTTCCCACAAACAATCTCTATTTTCATTTCTCTATGAAGTCACTTAGATCCTCCATGAAAATTCCACTGTCTAAACCCACAAACACTACTCAAGTTTTATTTAGTTTATTTATACCTGCTCATGCAAGATAATCAAAGAGGAAGTTTTCTTGGCTACAGCTCACTATTTATGTCTGATAAACTGGCTTTCCTATTGGCAATTTTTTTCTGACTGATATCCCTGCATCTGTAGAAATTATTAATATCCATGGGGGGATTTGTGTGGTCTGTAGTTCAGAGGGAAGAGAAAACTCATTTGGTTGGAGAGCAATCTGCACACTTATCATAAACCCACAGCAGCTGTAGCTATTTATGTACCACCTGCTCAACTTAGTAAAACCTGAAGCCTTTCAAGTTCATAAATAGGAGTGATGAATTAATTAGCAAAATCTTTGCCCTGAACAATGGGCAGACACTAGAGAGCTAAGGGAGACTGAGCACTTTCTGTGTTAAATAAAGGAAGGATTAAAAATCCAATTCTCTGGCAGCTTGTATGAAGGAAAATGGGATTGGAAAACATGAGCTTTCCACAAGGAAAAAGAAGAATCTTTGAAATAGGCCCAGCTGGGTGAGGCAGATGTTTGCCATATCTCTTAATGCTTTCCACTGATTTGGGACACCCTCTTTTCTGTTTCATGCTATTGAACAGGCTTGTGATGAGCTATTTGTATCAAAATAGATAAGACATCAAAACACTTGCCAAATCTCTTTTTAAAAAGATCATGCACTGAGCCCACTGTGACATGTTTTCTGACAGTTTTGTTTAACTGTCCAAAAAAATCACAAGGTGACATATAATGCTATCATCCACAAAATTATTCAGTCAGAGATCCCACTGAGCTCAATGGATCTTATCTTCTAAATGGGCTTAAAATTACAGCTACGGATTTGGAAATGCTCTAGTGGCATAGATGGCTTTCTAGCAGGCAAGGAGGTGTCCCACAAATTTTGAAGTGATCATGAATCCCCTCCTTCTCTGCGGGTTCATGAGTTACCCTGTCCAATGGATCACCCACTGATCTTTACTGAAAGATCATCACTCCCTATGTGTTTTCAGTACAGCCTGAGGCATGGGACAGTGACTGTGTATCCTTGATACCCAAATAATGGTTTGTAATCTTTATACATGTCAAATGTTTATTGCACAACTATCTCAATTATTAAACACAGCAAATGAAAAAAATGTGAAATGAAGAGGCAATCATAACCACCTTCTGTCCTGTTTCAAAGTATTATGGGAACTATATGATAACAGTCAAGTACTAATTAAGCGCTTGATGGGACATGCTTTAGAAAGAAAGAAATATTGCAACTTTTAATGCAACTCCAGTTGCAGAACACTCAGTACAACTTTGATGATCTTTTTTAAAAAAATGTTTCTAAGGTTGCATTACACTTGCTAAGACAAAAAGATTTACTCTTCCATTCAAGGTATTTGTGTGGAGGAGAGATAGAATTAGAAAGCTATAATTTGGGAAATTACTTGTATCTGACTACACTCTTCCCTCTTTCATTTGTGTTCACATACTAGAACAAGATATGAGCTTTTGAAGTGGAACTAGAAGTAGGATGGGGGGAAAAAAAGGACAGGATGTCTGTACTTGTAGTAGTATGGCAGGTCACAACTACAGTAGACTCATTTGAATCAGTAGGACGTATGGAGGAGATGATTCACCAAATCCCCATTGACTCAGCTGGCCTACTCAAGTGTGATTTACAATACTAAACCAAAGTCTGGCAGCCCATGTGTTTGAGGAGGTGGATTGTAATCCACAAAAATGCACAATGAAGTAAATCTATTAGTTTTTTTAAAGGTGCCACAATAAGCCTACTCTAATGAGATGCAATATGTTAAGCAACAGGATTTCAGCCATGGAATACATTATTTAGGCCACACGTTCACATATACATTGTCCATGTTTCTGATGAAGTGAATTGTAATTCCCAAAACCCACACTCAAATAAATCTGATAGAGGATGCCACAATACTTTCAGGTTGGATTTGCATGTTGAAACACAGTTTCCTCTCTGAAATTCAGCTAGTTGGGACTGCCCTGGTCTGCTCTGATATCACAATCCCACCCATCCATTGAGATTAAACATGGTCCTTTTGGGTATTTGTGTAGCTCAGATCAACACCTACAACTTGGATGTGGATGTTTAAGCAGGCCTTCCTTCCAGATAACACTAAATCTTTCCTTCTTTATCTATTCTTTGTTATTTTTGCCATCTTGAATAATTTGCTTATTGTGTATTCCTTATTGTTTATTGTTTAATGTCTATTCCTGTATATTTTTATTTTTTGTTATATGTACTGTATATGTTATTGTGTTTTTTACCTGTCTGGAAGCCGCCTAGAGTGGTCATATTGACCAGATAGGTGGGGTACAAATAGAATGAATGAATGAATGAATAAATAAATAAATAAACAAATAAACAAACAAACCAATCTGCATAGTGTAGGCAACATTATGAACCAGTTTAAAACTCTTGGTACATTTCTATATTTAGTTTACCTATCACTATCTACAATTCAATCTTCACTGCTCACTTTATTTGTTTAGAACAGGTCCTTCCTAAGGCACAGACATGACCCAGCAGCTTTTCTGACAACAGGCAGTTTTTGTTTTCTCATTGCATGGTTGGGATGGCATCTGGGACTTCTATGTATATCATGGAAGATTGGTGGGACAGTAATGAAACACATACAATGCTGTGATGAGCAGTTAAAACCTATTAGTTCTCATAGTGGCACATATTACTACTAAAATAATATTATCACGCATACCAAGGTCCAGAAATCTTAAGCGCTTTCTATATTCCTTTGAAATGACTTGAATTTAGGAAACTATTACTTATAACAAAGGTGAGCAGCATCAATGGGTCTTAGAGCCAATTTTCTGCTCTAAAACTCGCTGCAGAACACAGATGATCTCAATATGCCAAACCTAAAAAAATCCAAATTCTGGATAAATTATATAGATGTTCACTGTCCATTTTTTTTGGGGGGGGATTGTGTTTTTAGTGTTAAACAGTGCAAGGGAAGCCTGTATCTATTTAAAATGTAAACTGGTATTCCTGGAAAACTTCTGTAGAGACAGTTCATCTTTCAGTGACAAAAGACAGGGCAGACGAAGATCTTAGGGTTATAAACATAAACTGGGATGAAATTACAGGTTGACTATCTTTGATTTAAAGGAATCAAGTTAACTACATTTAACAACTGAGGTTGCCTACATTGAATTACTACATTTTTCATCTGACTGACACAAAGAAAAGAATGTGCCTTGTACACCATGAAGCCTGGCCAGCCTAGATTCGATCTAACCACCTTTCAAATTATTATCTCAGTCCTGAGATAATGAAAAGCTAATGTGTATTAATGCACATTATGTAGAAGTCTGCTAAAATAGCATATACATAGCTTTGACTCTATCCTAGACATACAATAATGTGTGGAAATCATGTGATGGCTTGCACTGGGACCTTTCATATTGCTACTATTGGTTGCCCAATACTTCCAGAGCTGGCAAAAAAAAATCCAGAGATTAGCCATACATATGGAAGAGCCAAATGCCTGTGACACTAAAAGACTCCACATAGAAAGTTTCAGCCGATCTCTTTATGCTGCTGTCATGGGTATATCAACCCTAACACAGCATCACAGGCTGAAATGTTTTGTTTCTTTATCGTTAATTCCCAGTAACAAACAAGTCCAGTAGCAGCAGCTTTATTCAAGTTAGTATATAAATTCAATTTCTACAATTCTGACCTACAACAGTGTTGAAGATAAAGCCAAAATATTTGGTTCCAGCTACCAGAACTGCATTTTATAAACAAACTGCATATGAATTGAAGTCTGCCAGTCATCTGGAGACCCCACCAGGTAGAGCAGGCAAAAAACTCCAATGACTATTTAAGAATACATTTGCATAGGTGTACTTTCCCCAAATTTGGGACATTTCTCAGCCATGTTTTCCTGCAAGTCTTATAACTGATAGCATTATCTTTATAAAAACCAGGCATATTTCCCTTCAAACAGATGTCCAAGCTCTCACCAAACTCAGGAACATCAGAGATAAATGATAGATGTTATTCATATGTTGCTGCCTCCAAATCTAAGCTTCATGAACAGAATCATTAACAAGTTTGACAAGGAATGATAATGTGGGAGAACAATGTGTTTTAGAAAACTCCTATAAGGACTTTATTAGTTAAAGCTTCCCAGTTCTGGCTGAGGAAGTTCTTGGTGAATTCTGGGGGCTGAAGTCCAAGAAAGCTGAACACTTCATTCCTACTTGATGCCAGAAAGCATGCATGTCCTGCAACATTACATAAATTAGGTACTGTAAGTTGTCATTATAAGTTGCATAATATTGCAACTACTACTACTACTACTACTCTTACTATTAATAATTTTAATAATGATGTCATGTACCACAAAGTCATTTCCATTTTAACGCAACCCTGTGTATTATGGACCTCCAAAGCATCCTATTTTTAAAAGCCCTGCTCATGCCTTACAAATTTAAGGCTATGGTCTGCTCTGCGTTACTGAGTCTACTCATTTCACATTCAGTCTTTCTCTTTTACTGCTGCCATCAGTTTTTCCTAGCACTAGTGTCTTTTCCAATGAGTTTTGACATCTTGCAATGCATCCAACACACAGTAGCTTTAGTTTAGTTATTTAATAATTATAATATTAATAAATTAGTTGTTGTTACATTAGTAAGAAATAATTAAATTCCCATTTAACAATTAAAAAAACTTCTGACAGTTCATATACAGTAGTTAGTGTATTGATTAAATAAAACAGGTGAGTACTGCAATTTGGCATTTATAGAGTGTTGCAATTTGGCACTGAAAAATAAGACTACTAAAAGTGAATTGGTAATATCCACCAGAGGCTTGTAAGCCAGGGAGGACTTCCAAAGGTTAGAATAGCACTCTCTTATCTCAGGGTTTGCTTATACCATCAAGATTCAGACGTCATTATTCTACAATTATTTCAGAAGCAAGGAGATTATAAACCAGAGTACTTCAGCAGTAAATTCAGGTTTGTGAATTTATGAGAGACACATATACACAAATGAATAAAATGCATTTGTGTACTCCACGATTATCTTCGTTCACCATATTAGAAGCACTGTTACAGTTATGTCACTGTTACTTTTGGAAAGAGTTATCGTCTATTTGCCAGCCCTATTTTGCCAAACTTCCGGTCATGCTGGAATGTCACATTTCTTCATTTTAAAAAGTTAAAGCAGTTCCAAAGCACAGCTTCAGCTTCTCTCCACATTCTTAGGTGAAATAATGCAAAGCAACACATAGTATTAAACTCTCATTTGCAAATGGTGTTGACATTCCTGCTGAAATTTGTTTTCGTGTTGCTTTCTCTTTAGAGTTGTTTCACTGGTAAATACTAGGGATGGGGAGTCACAAGTTGGGACTCACTATTGAGTTACCAGCTGCGTGAAAGCTGCGTGACCTGGTTACCAGCTGGGCGGTGCATGTGCAGTCTGAGTCTTTTGGTCTGAATTCCGAGTCCCAAGCCTTGGGGGAGGGGAATGACTGAAGACTCAGACTTGAGGCTTGGGACTTGGGGCCCAAGACTCAAACTAGGACTTGCGACTTGGGTCTGAAGACATGGACTTGGACTTGGGACTCTGGTCCGAGGACTTGCCAATATCCCTGGTAAATACTAAAGATAGCAGGGATCCAGTGCAACATGACCATCAGTAATGAGCGTATCCTGATTTTACTGTACATTACTAGCGGTAACATAGATGTTGGATGTATAGCATTTATTGGCACACAGTGAGCCAAACTTGAAAATATTACAAGAGAGACAAGATGGGATAACTGGAAAATGTGCATATCCAAAATGTATTTAGAATTTGTCCTGGGTGAATTTTAGGTTATGCAGATTTGCCCTTGTACTTTTCATGCCATAAATAGGTGAATCTGTATAAAGTCTCTTGTTACAGTTTCTGATGTTTATCCTAGTGTATATCTATGTGGACAATAACCACAAAAACTCACAGGACTACTACAAGTACATACAATAGAGACTCCCATCCATTCTTTTCCTCTAACTACAACAGTATGGAAATAAAATGTACTTACGATCTCGAGGGACTTCAATGGCTCTGATGAGGTGATGAAGGTTTAAAGTGAGCACCACTCCCATATAGGTTAGGAGATACCTCTGCGTTTCCATTTTGAATATTTGGCTAAATCTTATGTCCCCAGTTTCCTCCAACAAGGCAAAGTGGTGTCTTACTATTATGCAGCAGGATACTTTGAGTCACTGGAAAAAAACAAACAAAAAGCAAGGATTAATGACTTGTAATTATGATTAATGTTTCATTCACAACACTACTACTATCAGCTCGCTTGCCAAGCAGAGAAATAAAGGGCAAAAACGTTACAGTTTCTATTCTACTATTACTTAGAAGCTTTTCAGTTTTCAATTTGGTATTCCAGGTGGACCTTGATGGGAAAGGGTAAATGGATTGCTTTGATAGGTGGGGAGAACAGGGAGAGAGTGTGGAGAGGGGGCAACATAGCCTTTTCTGTAGACCACCTTTATTTGTGAAGCAACTTCATTGTTATATAGCCTTATTCCTAGAATTCACTCAGACAATTTATTTAGCAGAAATCTTATTTAATAATTAGACAAATACAGTAGGTATGTCTGTGGGTGGGTGTACATGCAGAATCTGTCACATGTTTTAACTAGTAAATTCAAGAAATAACCAAAGATTATGCTAATCCTGTGATTCTACATAGATGACTGGGGTTTTCCAAGATTTTCAACAAAAGTCTTTCCCAGCCCTGGCTGAATATATCACAGATTTAAATTAGATTATTTCCAGAGGCAAAGCATCTGGTTTGTTACTGAGGTAAAATTCTTTCCCGTTAGTAATTTGTTTCAGTTAGCAATTACTCTTGAACTTTTTTTTTCTTTGATACTAGATTAAATTAGGGAATCCTCAGGTAGGATATATTTGTTGCCTAGTACACAATGACTGGCAAAATAGGTTTACTGTCAATGTTTTATGAATACCACTCTTCACACATACTGACACCTGTAGATGAATTTTTGCCTGCCCCAATTAGTTCTACATTTCTTCATTTTTCCTCCAGCATTCATAAGCAAATCTGACAGCCATATTTAAGTGACAGAATTATCAGCATTGGTCTGAATTTTCAAACATTCACAGTTTGTCAGGCCTTATTAACAATTCATATACTACTACTGATGCTCCTCAATTTTCAGAAACCTACAACAACACATACATGTGGGTAAGTATGCAGAGGTGAGCACATCTGGACTATCCAGATGTTTCTTGGCCTATAGGTCTCATTGGCCCTAGGCAATATAACCAATGGTATGACATTATGGGAACAAGAATCTATAAACATATGGGTGGGAACCAATATTTCCTCTAAGCCAGTGGTCCCCAACCTTGGGCCTCCAGATGTTCTTGGACTTCAACTCCCAGAAATCCTGGCCAGCAAAGGTAATGGTGAGGGCTTCTGGGAGTTGTATTCCAAGAACATCTGGAGGCCCAAGGTTGGGGACCACTGGCTTAGAGGAAATATTGGTTCCCACCCATATGTTTATAGATTCTTGTTCCCATAATGTCATACCATTGGTTATATTGCCTAGGGCCAATGAGACCTATAGGCCAAGAAACATCTGGATAGTCCAGATGTGCTCACCTCTGCATACTTACCCACATGTATGTGTTGTTGTAGGTTTCTGAAAATTGAGGAGCATCAGTAGTAGTATATGAATTGTTAATAAGGCCTGACAAACTGTGAATGTTTGAAAATTCAGACCAATGCTGATAATTCTGTCACTTAAATATGGCTGTCAGATTTGCTTATGAATGCTGGAGGAAAAATGAAGAAATGTAGAACTAATTGGGGCAGGCAAAAATTCATCTACAGGTGTCAGTATGTTTGAAGAGTGGTATTCATAAAACATTGACAGTAAACCTATTTTGCCAGTCATTATGTACTAGGCAACAAATATATCCTACCTGAGGATTCCCTAATTTAATCTAGTATCAAAGAAAAAAAAAGTTCAAGAGTAATTGCTAACTGAAACAAATTACTAACGGGAAAGAATTTTACCTCAGTAACAAACCAGATGCTTTGCCTCTGGAAATAATCTAATTTAAATCTGTGATATATTCAGCCAGGGCTGGGAAAGACTTTTGTTGAAAATCTTGGAAAACCCCAGTCATCTATGTAGAATCACAGGATTAGCATAATCTTTGGTTATTTCTTGAATTTACTAGTTAAAACATGTGACAGATTCTGCATGTACACCCACCCACAGACATACCTACTGTATTTGTCTAATTATTAAATAAGATTTCTGCTAAATAAATGGTCTGAGTGAATTCTAGGAATAAGGCTATATAACAATGAAGTTGCTTCACAAATAAAGGTGGTCTACAGAAAAGGCTATGTTGCCCCCTCTCCACACTCTCTCCCTGTTCTCCCCACCTATCAAAGCAATCCATTTACCCTTTCCCATCAAGGTCCACCTGGAATACCAAATTGAAAACTGAAAAGCTTCTAAGTAATAGTAGAATAGAAACTGTAACGTTTTTGCCCTTTATTTCTCTGCTTGGCAAGCGAGCTGATAGTAGTAGTGTTGTGAATGAAACATTAATCATAATTACAAGTCATTAATCCTTGCTTTTTGTTTGTTTTTTTCCAGTGACTCAAAGTATCCTGCTGCATAATAGTAAGACACCACTTTGCCTTGTTGGAGGAAACTGGGGACATAAGATTTAGCCAAATATTCAAAATGGAAACGCAGAGGTATCTCCTAACCTATATGGGAGTGGTGCTCACTTTAAACCTTCATCACCTCATCAGAGCCATTGAAGTCCCTCGAGATCGTAAGTACATTTTATTTCCATACTGTTGTAGTTAGAGGAAAAGAATGGATGGGAGTCTCTATTGTATGTACTTGTAGTAGTCCTGTGAGTTTTTGTGGTTATTGTCCACATAGATATACACTAGGATAAACATCAGAAACTGTAACAAGAGACTTTATACAGATTCACCTATTTATGGCATGAAAAGTACAAGGGCAATTTGCATAACCTAAAATTCACCCAGGACAAATTCTAAATACATTTTGGATATGCACATTTTCCAGTTATCCCATCTTGTCTCTCTTGTAATGCCAGAGGTTGGAAGTTAAATTCCTCACTATCCATCCTTGATAGGGGCTGGATTCAGTGGCCCATAGGATCCCTTCCAACTCTTCAGTTCTAAGATGATGATGATTGTTGTTGCTGTTGTTGAAAAAAATGTGTATGGTGGGAAGATGGCCTTCCAAAATATGACACACAGCCCCAGAGATTTCTAAACTACTAGTGCAACCACATAGTCTATATGTGTGAATCACAGTGATCTCAAAGAAGAACTAGTTCTCTTGATGTCTATCAGATGATTTCAGCCAAGGCACAGACACTTTTAATCACATATAACAGCCTTCTGTAACAGTATCCCAAATTTCAGCTCTCTCTCTCTTTGTAATCTTGTTTAGTAGGGTTTTTTTCCTACAACAAGTCATTTATAGAGTATCCTGGCAGACTGCAGTGTTCTGAAACAGGTTTTTGAGTGTTGTCATTTCTGATTTATGTCCATTCTAAGAGAATCAAAGAATAATGAAGTTGGAAGGGGCCTATAAGGCCATCGAGTCCAATCATGAAACTGAATTTCACAAGCCATGTAAACCTTTAGCTGTTTCCAGAAGTTACAGATTCTAGAAACAAATGCTATGACTAGATAAAGAAACAGATTCATTAAACTTTCCCAAAATCTCTGGGAAGCATAAAGTATTCTTGAAGAAAGGAACTTAGAAAACTGAAGATTCCCCACCATTTGTTCTTCAGAAGGCAACCACCTAAGATCTTTCAGGAAAGCATCCTCTGGACCTGAGCTACCACCACCTTTGAAGCTTGTTATCCAACACACTGTTTTATCTCCTATGGGTGTTAATGCTGCTGACACCAAGTACCAGTGAGTATAATGAAAACAGTATGCACAGGCTTTATTGTAAAATGAAACATGTCACCTTTCTCTGACTACACAGAATTTTATCTTAAATTGTGCACATTTGGTTCCTGCCTGCCCAGATAATTAGTTACTGATTAACCTTGGGGGAAAAACCTGTTAAGATGTTTTGCTTGAGCTTGTCCTGTTTGTCCTTTGTAGAGTGCAGAAGGATATTGCTGGCAAAAAAATGGCATAGATCACATTGGCTGATGAAACTGGTATTGCCAATGTCAGGTGACATTAGCAGGTGACAAAGAAAGACAGCTCAAATCAGATTCATACACCAATTCCAGAGAATGTCAGAATGACTAAATGTCAACCAAGGTTTTGAATTTCCTTATATGCATTAATTCTCCCTACTGTCTTTTGTATATATGAGACCCTTCACCAGACCATCCAAAGCCACGGGTGAGTAATACCTTTATTAGACCACTAAAGCAATCAACTGCAGTCACAAGAGTTGACCCTAGAAGGAACCTTCTGCTGCCTATGCACCTCACAGCAAGTGTGAAACTATCCATTTAAGCCAGGACCTGTATACAATCAACATAACTACAGTTAATTACTTGTGTTGGTAATGCTATTGTTGCCAGCCTGTACATATAACTGTAGAATTCTTCCACTCTAATATGTTTGGAAAAAGTGAATTTATCCACTTAAGCTGACACTGGAATATATAAGTTGGTTTTTAAGGTCCCACCACGTTTTGTGCTTTGTGTTTTATTTTGTTTTAATTTTGTTTGGATATACTGGTGATCTATGTGTTCCTTTCCCTCAGGCTCATATTCCAGTCCTGGCTAAAGGGAAAAATTTGAGAGAAAAACAGTCCAGCAGAAAGGACTAAACATATAGAGAGTAAATCTTTGTCAAATCTGGCATCAAAGAAGAAAGAAGGGTAAGAAAGGACTATATAGATGATGATGATGATAATGATGATCATAATGATAATAATGACAATGATGACGACAACAACAACAGTACACAAACTTTTTTGGACAATATTTAACAGGCATCAGTCTCCTGGCACCTTTTGCAATCTGCTCACAAATTTTAGAAACTATCAAGCCAACGTGGGCTTGAAACAAATTAGTGACTAATAGGCCCTCTTCTAGTACTTGTGAAACTGTCTATAGCTATGGTAGGTATATATGTGGTTAGACAGCATTGCAGGAAAAAACACACCAAACTGCATGTAGATGAAAGCACAACAGATTGACA